AAAAAAAAAGTTATAATATTCTCTCCATCTGTTTCCCTTGTAATACTCAAACTTTCTGGGAGAATTTAGTAAAAATGAATAAAATAACAAATCTTTTGCACCAATCTAATGCACTTTTAACGATGCTTGAGGAACATATCCTGACGTCGTCGGAGCCCAGCGAGCGTCCCGAAACGTCACCCGAGATATTTCAGGCTTCCCACCCCCTTTCGGAATTTCATTACTCTCGCATGTTAAGCATTATTATAGCGAGTTCATTGCGGGAAAGTGCGCCGACTTCGCAGCGTCGCGTTATCGCGTTACCGTACTCTCAAGCGAACCCGTATACTGTTTCAGGCTTTGGTGTACCGAGACGGCAACCTCGTCTCGGGCTCTCTCGAGGCGTTGGTGCAGCACATGGTACCTACGGAGGAATATTATCCCGATCGGGCATACCTCTTCGCCTTTTTGCTGAGCGCCAGACTCTTCATCAAGCCGCACGAGCTTCTGGGCGAGGTTTGCGCTCTCTGCGAGCATCAGCAGAATCTGAATGGGGAGGGCGGTAAGGTGAGCAGCACCCATGCAGTGTGTACTTGCGACCTGCGAGGGCACGAAACCCTTCGCCGTTCACGTCGCGCATTCGCGAAAGCCGCGTGTATTATCGTTTCATCGCGGAGTGGTCATCCAGCCCGCTCCGCACGCGCGCGCACACACAAGTATAACATTCTACTATTAAGAAAAGCGATTAAGGGAATGCTGAAGCTGACAGAACGCTGATATTTTTCTACAAAGTTTACGTCGTATTGGTTACACAGAATTACAAATGCAATAAAAGTACGTGCAAAGATAAATTGGAGCATTGTTCGATATGTGACGAAAACGAACAAAAAATTTTTAATGTAAAATCTCAATCTGTTAGCGTAATATTTGTCTAATCCAAAAGTTTCGCAACTTGTATATGCTGAAAGTGTGGATGCTCCAAACAGAAAATTTTTGAAGAACATTGCTTTACCTTCGCATCTGTCTTTGAAAACTTAAAAATATCGAAAAAGTTTGCAGAAAAATTTCTACACATATATGGTTAGGTTTTTCGTTGAATATAGTAAAACAAAGCAACATTTATATAAATTCTGTATATACAAGAAATACAAAAAAGATAGCGTGATTATGTTAATGACGATCGTCTCTGCATTATCGACATTGTTCGAGTTCGTCATCGACTCCAGCATCCCCTTAAGGGGATGCTGAAGTCGATGACATACTCAAACAATGTCGACCAGGCAGAAACGATCGTGACTAACACGCCATCCTTTTCATGTTTCTTGTATATACAAACCTTACGTAAATGTGTGTTGGTTTGTTTTACCATATTCAGCGGAAAGCCTAACTATGCGCGTGTAGAAATCTTTCTGTAAACTTTTCCGATATTATTCTCAAGCTTCTGAATTCAGATGCGAAGGTACAGCAATATTCTTGAAAATTTTCCTTTTGAAGTATCCACTCTTTCGGTATGTACAAACTACAGAACTTTTAGATTGGGCAAATATTACGCTGACAGCTTGAGATTTTACATTTACGATTTTTTTTCGTTGAGCAATATTCTTATTTATTTTTGCACATACTTTCATTGAGTAAAAGCGTTTTAATTCTGTGTAATCAATACGACGTAAACTTTGTAGAAAAATATCAGTATTCTCGGTAAAGTCGGTAAAGTTTTCAGCTTCAGCTTTACCCTCTTAAAGCTCTTGGGACTCGCTGTCTTCGTTTGATGACGTCAGAAGCGAGAAATCGCGTGCCTATGATTCTTGCGTTATATGTTTAAATAAAAAGATATATCCATAAAACGACACTTGTGATCGATTTAGCAAATTTGTAAAATGCTCCGAACGTTCTCCTTTTGCTATTAAAACTAATAAATAGTTGTAAAATTAGTATGACATGCATAACTCAAGTTTTAACCAAACTTTTCTTATCATTTCTATTATTCTTAACATTTCTATTATTTTTGGGACTATTTATTGATTGTAACAGCAAAAAGAGAGTGCTTGAAGCATTTTACAAATTTGCTGAATCGATTACAAGTGTCGTTACGTGTGGATACATCTTTATTTCAACGTATAACGAAAAAATTGTGAGCATTGGATTTCTCGCTTCTGGCGTCATCAAATAAGAATAGTCTGCATGAGTACCCAAAAGCCTAAATTTACTTTTTCTTTCTTAAGTACTGGTTATCTTTAAAAAAGTATATTTTCTTGATAATAGTCTTAAGATTCGCTCATCAAAAATTTGAGAAAAACTCATTGTCATGTACTCAAAAAGGGAATTTCTTCTTTTTACAAGAATATCATAATATTTTGTCAAAGAAAATATTAGTAATCTATATGCTAAGCAAACTAAAATTTTATTAAGTTTACTAAAATTTCTTATTTGCTACTAGAACTACTTAAAGTTAAATTAGTAAGAAAAAAATTAAATTAATAGAATTACTTAAAAAACTTTACTTTACTAGAATTATAAATGTTAAATTTACTAATATTTAGAATATATTTTGAATAAATTTAATTCGAACGATGAAAAATTATGATAATTTGTGGATATATATAAACTTGTGAAATACTTGAAACAGAAGTAACATTTACTTCAATATATTTTTCTGTGTGCATTTTCTCTCCCTTTTTTCGCCCGCTTTCTCTATCGCAATGTGAAGAGAGCACAGAAAATACCGTCGTTCTTTGCCCATTGTCTCTTATCTACGGCACTTAAAACGGATCGTTTTCTCGACTACATAGGCCTGCCGGGTCATTTGCATTCTTGCGTTATATACGATCTCGTTTTTCCTGAGGATATTGAGATATTCCTATGTAAAGCAAAATTCTGTGTTATTCTCACTTTTATGAACGTCGATACATTACATTTTTCGTTTGTCTTCATCTCTAGAATATGTGAACGTTTGGTCGAATTTGTAGGACACTCTGTATAAATATAAACGTTGAGCTTACTGTGGGACACATATATATATAGCCTAACAGGACCGAAAGGATTAGTAACGTGTTGGCTGAATTGGACTTACTCGGACCACCGCGATATAATTTCAATTAATTTCGATTAATTTCAATTAATTTCGATTAATTTCGATGAATTCCGATTAATCACTTATTTAATGGTCACATGGGAACGGCACCACCCCGGCGAGATTTTCAAGAGTTAAATTAAATGACCGAATTCCGCTCTCCGTCACCTCACTCCACCGCAGCCGCGGCGAGAGAACGTGCATTTTCCGTCGCGCGCGCCAAGCTTCACCATTAGGCAAGCGACAAATTAAGGAAAAGGAAAACCCGGCGCGTGTTTCAGGAGCGGCTGCATCGCTTCGTGCCGCGGCTGGTGCAGCTGCTGGCGGAGTGGACGGAAACATTCCCGTACGACTTCCGGGACGAGAGGGTGATGGGTCACGTCAGGTCCATCACGCAGAAAGTCGCTGCGGTCGACGCCGCGGCCAGGCAGGAAGTTTCGGCGCTGCTGCAAAACTTGCTGTTACGACTGACGGCCCTGGAAAGGTACGAGGAGGGCTTGGCCAGACTGGCGACCGAGGCAGCGACGGAGCAGCTTACACAGGTCCGTGAGTTTCACTACAAGCGCCCATTTGCGGCCGTCAGTTTGCATTTCGCTGTCCCACCTCGGCTTAGTTAGTGGCTTAGTAGCGCGACGTTTTACCGAACTGCAAACACCGCCGATCTCTGCCCGTGCGCGCGTGCAGAGTTCGCGCGTGCTCATCGGATATCCGTTAATTTCGTTGCTCGAAAGTGAGAGGAGAGAGACGCTGGCCTGGTAATGCCAAGCGGCGCGAATACCGGCCGACCGGCGGACGCGACCGAAACGAGGCGGCAATGTACGGAAACGTTCTTCTCTGTCTTTGCGAGAGGATGTCCTAGCTGCTTTGTCGCGAGCAACGTCAGTGCCGATGTTGCATTTTGCTCTTCTGAGCTACAGGAAATAATTGGAAATGGGGATATGTGAAATGACGTTTTCGTTTTTTCAAGCCTTGACGATTATAAACGATTCACGGTTAAAGAGATGAAATTTAGCGAAAATGGAATTTAGGGGATGAAATTTGATGTCATTAGAGGGCGAAATTTGACGTCTTGTCATAGGGGATGAAACTTAGCGAAGACTGAATTTAACGTTTTTAAGGAATGAAATTTAGCGTCTTTGGGGAATAAAATTTAGCGTCTCTAGGAAACAAAATTTTATGTTTTCAGGAAAATAAAATTTAGCAGAAATAAAGAAATAGAATGAAATTTAGCGAGGATAAAATTTAGTGTCTTTGCGTAAGCGGAATTTAATAATACATTTGTAAATTGTTTGGTATCTTGTCTCATGGGAGATAATATCCCAATAAATATTGTACTACTTTCTTGAGATATTTGTTAATTATATGTTTCAATTTCAAATAAAATATTCCAACTACACGGAGACAATATTATAGTTTTTCCTTATATAAATTCTTTACGCATTTTCTTCAATTTTATTTTCATTTAAATTTTGTTAAGAATATAGAAAAGTTTTTAGTAACATATTTCACAGCTCCTAAAATTTAAATAGCACATATGAAAGAATAATTACTGCGAAATGTCGATTTGTCCCTCATTTATTCTATAATAATTCTATAATAATTTCACTATAAAATTTCCTCGGTGTACGTATGCGATTCATAATGTGGTCAATTAAAACTACTTAATAGCTCGACAGTCAGTCTTGACGTGTGCATCTTGAAAGACACAAAACACAGCGTAAACTCGCCGCGATGACACGCGTGAATTCAGCACCTCCATTTTCCTCCTCTATCTTCTTTTTTATTCATACAGCTTTTTATTTCCCACTGAGATCGAGAGTTTTTCGATTCGACTCTTTATTCGCGTGTTTTGACGGACGGAGAGGCACGTAGATAGAAACTGTTATTGAATTTGCAAATTGACGTATGTAATTTCTGCGCAAACGTAACGTTTACAGCAGTTGACTAAACAAAGCGGAATTATTAATCGAAATAACGTGTCTGCAAATAGAGAATCGCGTGATTTTCTATGCTAACGACGATAATATGCGATAATTTACAAGATGAGTTAAAAGCGACAAGACGTGCTTACTCTCGTGCAAGCTTTTATTTTTCATGAGTGCTTTTATGCGCGTGATCAACTTGCGAGTGCATACATTTGATACAGGTACATATCGTAGCCGATAACATTAGATACACCTTAATGTATATGTCGTACTACAAATACACACATTCTGTGAAATAAAGCCCACTTCTATGAAAATAAACTTTGTATCTCACAAATATTTTCACAAATACACACATTCTGTGAAATAAGGTCCACTTTTATGAAAATAAACTTTGTATCTCATAAATTTTCAAGTATTTTTTTCTCAACACACACTTTCTAAGTGCATGCACGTTCTTGCACTTAGTGCAGTCAGTCATAACAATTAGTTACCTGAGAAATTGCATAACTTTAAAATTCCGAAATATGGAACATATAGCTGATCTCCTCTACTCAAATTTTTATTCAGAGTTAAATCCAAGTTTTTCAGTTGAATCATGATATGTGTGACATTTATGTCCGTAATCGCGATTTGACTAAACAACTCCCGCTTCTAACTCAGAATGTAAATCGAAGCGCCTCCTTTGATCTCAAATAGTGACTATTAATACGTAATGACAATATCAGCACGTGCATCTTGAAAGGAGCAAAACGCAGAGACAATCTCACGGCTGTGACACGGATGAATTGAGCGCCCGATTAGAGATCCCGATACAAGAAATTACACACGCCGCCTCAGGATAATAAAAATGAGCGCGGCCACGGCTTGGTTGCGGTGTGATCCACGAGCCTCCATAATCTCAGCCTGATTTCACACGTTAACGGGCGAAAGAATACCGCACAGCCGGGCGCACCGCCGCATTGTTCCGCAGTTTCAATATGGATTTATACTCACGTAATCCTGCTTGCCGGCCGGCACGTTGCAAAGCACGATTACTCGGTTTACCGTAATCACATCGACCCTTCGAGGACTTTCAGCATAATAAAGCGATAATATTCCCTCTCCTGCCCCGCCGCTGGGGTGGTGAACGGCCCCCTCCTACTCTTATACGTTCTGTCTATCTATCTAGCTAGCTAGCTATCTCTCTCCCCCTCTCTCTCATTTCCGTTTGTCGCACACACGATTACCGTAAAGCAGCCCCTTTGCGCGTTCCCGTGTGCCGTATTACCGTACCTTCCCGTACGTGTACGCACACATACACGATCATCGGATCTGAACGCACAAACTTGGACATTTACGTGCGCGTATGCGCGTGCACTTTGCGCGGTTAGTCTAACGGGGTTAGCGCAGTTTCCATGCGGGGAGACGTTAACTATTCCGTTAATTTGATTATCGCGCGCGCACGCGCGCCCGCGCCTATCTGCCATCGCTTGTAACGCACTCGCTAATAGGTAATTTGCAACTGCGTTAGTTAGTTGAATATACTGGACCGTGCGCGGCTAATCAGTGCAAAATTGTGCGAGGGGTTGCGCGCGCGCACCACCGTCCGCGAATGCCGTGCTCCCGAATCACGTGAACGCGCGATGAATTGCGTTTGAGGCCGTTCGCCGTGGGATCGCTGTGGGCGGAGGGGTGGGTTGTGTGTAACGACCTATGGAGCCGTTCGAGCATGAGGGAGAGTTCACACCTTGGTGGAAAAGCAGAAAACAGAACGGCAGAAACCAATCAGAAGTCGCGCTAGTGGAAAAAGTAGAAACTACCGACTAACACACACACACACACACACACATACACACACACACACGCACGCACACACACACACACACACACATCTGACCACCAGCGCAAGGCGATTCTGATTGGTCTCTGCCTTCCTGCTGAGACGCACAGCTGTGAACGCCAATCTTGCAGACGTTCGTACCCGTTCGTAAAAAATAACGCGCCGTCCCTGCAGGCGAGACACTTTATCTCGGTATTCCCGCGCGCAACGCCATAAAGTGGAATTAGGTCGCATCGGAGGGTGTAATCTTGCGCTCAAGTCGACGAAAGTACAGCGACTGCACCAAGTCGAGGTGATTGTCGAGGCGACGCGCGCCCCACGTGAATAGCTGACTTCTTGAAAACAAACTGTCTTCTTGTGAATTAAGATTTTCAACGATAATTTTTGGTTCCTATATATGTTCACGTAAACAATAAGGCCGAATAGCAAGATGTATGCAGTAAAACTTAAGCAGCAAATATATTAATCAACTGCAGTCGATAATTTTTCTCACGGTCCAAGAATAATCGACTATCAATTTTCGTTGTTTCTTACTGCTTACTTCTTCCTATATGCCATGGCTCTAAATCTGTTTTACGCAGTTACGTAAAAGGTAGAATATGGTCTGTGAGAGAGTTCTCCAAATAAACCCTGATAGTAAAGATGCCAACTCATACGACAATGTCTATGCAATCTTAAATTAGACTGTGATATATTTATCAGATGTTGGTGCAAAAGGTTCGTCTTGTTTGTCAAATAAAATAGAAAACAAAATGATTAAATTTTGAAAAATTATAGATGAGAGAATATACTCGCGGTATTTTTTTTTTTTTTTTTTTT